GTGCTTTGTTCCACCTCTGTCCCTGCAGAGAGGCCCAGGTGGCTCAGGCAGGGGGTGGCCCATTAGTGCCCCAACTCCCAGTGTGTTTCTGGCTCACTTTGCTCCTGTCCCCAGCCTCTAGGGCAGTAGCCATCTGCTCCCCTCCTGGGCACTGCTGCAGAGACAGGGACTGAGAAAGTTGCAGCCAGCAAGGCCGACAGCCTCACTGGGCCCCAGAGAAAGGTGGAGGGGGGGCCTCAGGCAGACAGGGAGGGGCTGGACCTAGGTTGCCTGCGTCAGGGCTGCCTGGAGTGTGCTGCATGGTGCTCCAGCAGCAATTTAAAGGGCACAGGGCTCTGGCCGCTGCTGCAGTAACAGCAGCAGGGAGCTCCAGCCCTGTTGTATCACCAGGTCCTGGGGCAACTGCCCTCTTTGCCCTCCCCATTGGCGGGCATGGCCACAGCCCTCCCATCCTGGCAGCCGACTGGGCCGTCTGTACAAATTATGGGTCCCTTCATAAATGAGGCCCCCCGATGCAGCTTCTGTGGGAATCTGGTGTTTCCCTCCCATCTTCATGCAGCTTCTGCTGGGATCCTTAGGTTTGGGGCCTCCCCCTTACCACACTGCTTCCTTGGCCTCTACTGGGAATCAGGAGCTTTTCTGGGGCTGGTGCGGAGCTGCAGAGGCTGGGGACTCCTCTCTGCCTGCTGTCTAGCAGCAGGGAGCCCTCACTAGCTGGCTGCTGCTGGCGGAGAGGAGCACGTGGGGGAGAGCACAGGGAGATGCCCTATGGCAGCCAGAGACAGGGTCCAGAGAGGAACCAACAGAGGTGGTTAGGGCCAACCTCAGGCAAACTAGCACACACATGTGTGTAGGGGCACCCTCAAATTTGGTGCCCCAAATTTTCAGATGCCTTACACAGCCATGTATTTTGTATACACCTAGGAACAGCCCTAGCAGCCGAGCCTGGACAGGGAGTGGGCTGCTGCTGCCTCCCAGTCAGGCTCTCTCAGACAGAAACAACATCTCCATCCCATTCCATGTCAAGCGGCTAAGTATGAGCACCGAGGGACTGGAGGTTGTAAGCAGAGAACAGAGCCCCTCTTCCTACTGTTCCCTGGCAGGAAAATGGGATGGGGGCTGGAGGAGAGGGGGAAGGACAGACATTTGATACCTTCCATGTCTCCCCCTTGTGTCATCTCTGATTACTGCAGGAGTTAATGTTAACTGGCCCATGAAGAGAGCAGAGCACACACAGAATTTCAGATCTACATCTACCTTTTGTGGACACACTCACTTTGGAGCTTCCTACATTACCCTCAGTCACTGGCTGCAGCCCGCCAGCACTGCTGTGTGCTAACAGTGAAAAGAAATGCTATCTTACCTACCTGGGCTTCTCCCAGCCCTGATGACTGAGCACCACTATTTCCAATCTGAAGACATCAAACATCACAAGTAAGATGCTAAAAGATCATCAGATTAACTGAAAAAAATCATGACGTTCAAAATAATCAAATTTTTCAGTCTGTGTTTTAACTTTGTAACTTTCCTGTGCTCCTCGGCCAGAGCATGTGTTATAATTTCAGACTGAAAAGCCAACCTTACTGAAAACAGTGGGCAGTGGCCACCAACTTCTTTATTATGGGAAGTCTCACTTCCCCATGCAGATACATGGTAAGGAAATGGTGGCCATCTTGCAGGCTTCAGTCCCATTGATAGGTAAAAGGAGATTGTGGTCATTTTGAATAAGAGAAGATTCATGAGTAGGCAGCCTTTCATCATGTTTTTATGAGACAGGTGAAAAAACACAATTCTTCTCTCCCAAAAGCATAAGAGCGGTGTTAAAATTGCAATAGTTGTTGTGGTAATACTGGTGAACTCTTGATGACCAACCCAAAGATCAGCTGCATGCTCCAAAGAACCATTTCTTCTTAAACAAAAACAAGTGTCCATCTATGTAAATTAATTTAAAAATAATAAAAGAAAATTTGGAATACAATACAAAATCAACAGGTGGAACTCATTGCCGCATGATATTTGTAAGCTAAAGAGCTCAATAAGATCTCCAAAAGATTAGACACTCGTGAATAATATAATTTTCTGCTACACAATTTAAAATAAACCTATATGAGAGTTATCAATCTTCATATTGCAGTAAACCATTAACTATGTGTCATTAGGAAGAATTTTCTCTTGTAAGTATATTGAAGAATAAATGGACAGCTATTCTGATCTGTAATGACAGACCATTTTTTTATGGTTTCAGTTTATGGGCACGGAAATATTCTCTTTCCACTCCTATTCCCTCTCTGGTACCACAACTCTAACAAAGAGAGTTAATAAACATTGTGTATATTCTAAAGATAATATTGAAAACTGCAAAATTGCATATGCATTTTATAATTGGTGTGGAAAAGGGGGGAGATCTAATCCTATTGGACCCCCCTTTCTTCCCTTTGATGGTAAGCAGCAAATTTTAATTAGCTTCATTTCCATGATTCAGTCATGCATATGTAATCTTTGTTCACACTTTTATAAAGTAAAATTAAGTGAAAGAAATTGGGTAATAATAGAAAGCTTGTCTGAGCAGAACAAATTTGAATTATCAAACATAAGGAAAGATGACTGGGGCTATGGGGCTTGCAGTTGTGGAAGGTTTGAGGTGGTTTCTCTGCAATAGGACTTCATAAACAACCCACTGAAACAGGTGCTGATTATCCAGCTATTGGCATCCTTTGTTCATCACGTACTTGGGCTGCCAACATGTAGAGATAACCACTGAATGTGAGGAGGCTGCTTAATAACATTTTTCTAATGCTTTTCTTTTATCTTGAGATAAAATGTGACCTGAACTTGTCTAGTTAATAAAAAAATCCTGTTTGAACCCCCTTTTCTTGGCTCTAGTGCTAGAACAGGAGCTTGCATGATTATAGCTGCTCAAGTTATCCTGCCACTTTTGGAAAAACAACTTGCATTGTAATATGAAGTTCTCCTAACCCCTACAGCCCCTCCTCCAAATCACTGAGTCCAGGGATTACCACAGGAGCCTTTAGAGTCCCCACATGAAACTAAAACTAAAGCATGTATTAAATTCAGTCCCTCTGGGGCAAGGCAGAAGAAGAGGGAACTGCAGCTAATCCCTGCCAGTCATGATTATTGGAAGGAATGAGCATGATTAGGATTGCTATCTATATTATTTGTTATCTAGCAGGAAAAAAATTGAAATGTAAAGAGATCCTATTAATCTGTTGATGCCCAGAATTTGACTTACTTCAAAACTTGTTAGAACACCCCTTACATCCTAAATATGTATTTTACAAAATCAGCCCCTCACCAGTACCTTATTTTACTTACTTTAAGAAAACTATTTGATTATAGAGGGCTGCAATTAAAATATTGGACTAGCCAGTGGAATTCAATATAACTCCACTGAAGTCAATTAAATTATACCTGAAAAGAATCTTAGGCCCACTTGATTTTGCTCTGCTACATTACAACCACCCATGAGGAACGAGCTGATTAAAGGGAATATAAAACAGAGCAACAAAGGAGACTAAAGTCAGCATAGAACAAAAATGAATTCTGCTCAAAGAGAAACTAGTGAATAATTATTTTCTGTCCAGTCTCCACCTCCCACAGCAACCCCACCTTTGTTTGTCTGCGGGCTGACAGGCTCAGGGTAAAGACCTTTTACAACAGCAGGGATCTGATTTCAGGAAGGGGAGGCTGCTTGTTTCGAAAGGCTGTGGCACTTTTCTTTCCCCGACCCACCTGACTGCTGGAAGGTGACCACATCCTGTCTTTGCTATAGCCACAGGTTAATGTTAAACAAGGGCAACTGTACTAGTCCTTATCTCATTCCAAGTCTGAAGTAGTGAAAGTCTGGGTGCAAGGTAGCAGATAGTGATACGAATGGAAGAGGTGCAGCACTGCAGTTCATTGCCTGGAGCATCTGAGGAAACAGAACTGATTTCAGCAGAGAAGAACAAAGGAACAATGAAAAGAAGTTTGCTTCAGTCCTAAGAAAAGGGGACTGCATGCTGAGACCTATGCTGCCTCCTCCCCACCACACCTGTGCTGGCTTATTGACACAGCCTCTGTAGCTAACCACCTAGCTTTGATTCTGGGCAGGTGTGGCTTGTATACCCTTCTGCTACAGCCTGCTTGTATCAGCTTGTGAATGTGAAGGGAGAAAGAGAGATCTATTTACTTGAACAGCAGAGAGATTTGGTAAGCTGAAGTTTTTATTTTTGTTTTTCCTTGTACTTCCTTGAACTAGATCATGGCTCAGCAAAATGGCCAGGTAAATTGCTCTAATGTGATTGATCACAGCCATATCTCTGAGTTTGAGGTTTCCCTGTGGATCAAGATCTCTCTAGCTTTCGTCTATGCTTTTGTCTTTGTTGCGGGGATCCTGGGCAATAGCGTCACCATCCAGACCACCAGAGTGCTGCAGAAGAAAGGCTATCTGCAGAAAGAGGTCACGGACCATATGGTGAGCTTGGCCTGTTCTGATCTGCTGGTCATCCTGCTGGGGATGCCTGTGGAGTTCTTCAGCATTATCTGGACCCCCTTCTCCACGCCTAATGGCAACGTGGCCTGCAAGTTGTACTGGTTCCTCTTCGAGGCCTGCAGCTACGCCACCATACTGCACGTGGCCACTCTCAGTTTCGAGAGGTACGTTGCCATCTGTCACCCTTTCAAGTTCAAGTCTGTTTCTGGACCCCATAAGGTGAAGATCCTCATTACCTTGGTCTGGGTTATCTCCATCTTGGTGGCCCTGCCCCTGCTTTTTGTGATGGGCACCGAATACCCCCTAGAAGCTGTCCAGGGTTACCGAGGGCAGACAGCCTGTGTCACACCTACCTCCAGACACCACTGGCCTGACGTGAGGCCCAATGTCACTATATGCACAAATCTTTCTTCCAAGTGGACTGTCTTCCAGTCCAGCATCTTCAGCGCCTTCATTGTGTACATTGTGGTGCTGGTAGCGGTGGCCTTCATGTGCCGCAGCATGATGAAAACCCTGATGATCCTCAAGAAAGGGACGGTGGCAGTTAAGGGGGCACAAAGACACCAGGAGCAGTATCTAAGGAAAAATGAGAGTGCAGAGGGCAAGAACTCCAGGCAACAGACCATCATCTTCCTAGGTAAGAGCATGTTTTATTTGTAGAAGTCAAGAAGAAACGTAGAGGTCTCTTTCTCTCACCCTCCTAAGGCCCAAGCATGCGTTACAGTGTGAGATGTGGGTCCAAAATGGGAATTTAAGTAAGTTATTCATACAGGTAAATACACCACTCTATTTTCCTTCCAAATTTTTTTTTTAAATGGGTGGTGACCAAAAGGCTCAGGGGCCACATGCAGTCCCCAGTTTGCCTAGATCTGGTCCCCAAGGCTTAAGGCTCCCCTCCCCCAGCATTGGGGAGCCTATGCTGCTGGACCCCCCACCCCCCAACTAATTTTTCTGTGGGTCAGCAGCCCCTGATGCAAAAGAGGTTCCTGACCCCTGTTTTAATGGGACCTTTACATTGTAAATATATTTAAAACACCTGATTCCCTGGCCTGTGTCTTACTAACATTCTACTACATTAGAACCATTTGAAGGGAAGTCACAAAGTAAAATCCAATTTACTTTTTGTTCTTTATGCTGCCTGGTTACTCTGTGTGTTTTTTCTCCCTGTGGACTAATGAAGCTGGCCTTACTGTGAAATACAGTGTCAGTGTTGGTCTGGTAGGCAGGGCAGTGGCAGTGACTTGGTTTCAAACTCTTCCTCTGGCATTTTTTTCCCTCTTCAATTCCTGAATATGTGGCTGCTGCAAATATTTTTTTGTCTCACAAAATCTAAATCTCAGCAAGCTGTGATGCATGTCGTTCTGTTCAGAATGGTACCTGGCAGTGTCCCGTGCTGAACTTGGTCAGTTGTTGCTAATATTTAAGTTGAATGGATTGATTGAAACTGGGCTGGAGAATTCACTTGGTCTCACAGGTTGCTGTTGTCTTCATTTGTTTTTCCTCTGGTCTTATTTGAAGGCCCATAACCTTGGAATTACGTTGTATTCTGATCTCTCTCGCGCGCCACATTTGTCAGACTAAAACTAATCAAGTTGTCATTTCACCAGCTCCGAATCTTTCCAGGCTGTGATCCATGCATTCTCCACCTCCTGGGGAGGGTCTTGGAGGCACCCTTAATCATGTCCTGCTAGAGTTACAGCAAATCCTTGATTCGTTGGCTTGCTTAATACAAGAGTGGTTATAGTAAATGGACAAGCTAGTGGATGACTGCACAGACCAAGCAGGATTTCAGTGCAGTGGCACTCTGTTTGGTACCTCAGGGAGGCGGTTGACACTAATAAGCTCTTTCACATTGACGGTCCCATAGTCCCCTAGCTAGTTGTACTCTTGGTATCAGCTGCGGCCCACCAAGTCTTTTCTAGAGGTCTGTGAAATAGGGGGGGGAAATGGAGACCCTGAAATTCTAGCTACAGTGAAAAGAGATCCAGTCTTTCTTCATCCCCTTTTGTATTATGTCTGTGCGAGAATTGCAGAGGCAGTTAAAAGACACCACTTTGACAAGATCTAACCTTATTCCATAATTACATCTCAGTAACCAGATTAAAAGGGCTGGACAATAGGTGGGGCCAAACAATGCAGGAAGTGTTCTGCAGGATTCAAATGTGAGACAGGCAGTTTCAGGCCACACACTTTTATTTTGTCAAAACTCTTCTCTGGTCCTTGTCTCTAAAGTGGCTCTCTAAGGATACTGCAAACCATTTTGGGATCCTTTGAATTGAAAGGCCCTGCATAAATGTGATAAAGCAACTTCACATGCAGCACTGCTGAAATGTAATTGCCTGCTGGCATAGAAGGCAATGACTAATGCACATTGCATAGAGCAAGGGAGACGGACAGCATTGCTCTTTAAGGTCTTAGTTGCAGGGGGAGCTTTAAGATATTTGTGTAATTTGCTCCCCTCACCAGTGAGGCTGACAGACTTACCAGGCCTCCTGGGCAAGGTGGGGTGGGATGGCTCTGTGCCCCTGGAAGAGGTGGTGGTGGCGGCAGCGGGGTGGGGAGCGATTAACTTCCCCCAGGCAGCTTTGGTACTGCCCAGAACATGTCATGCCTAATACAGGCAGCCCTCAGTGCTGCCTGGAGCACTCCATGTGGGGCTCTGGTAGTGATTGAGAGGACCTGGGTCCAGTAGCAGCGACCTGAAGGCACAGGTCTTTTTGAATTGCTAGACCCTGAGGCAGTTTTCTTCTTTGCCTCCCCCCATCAGTGGGCCTGCCCCTCACAAGCCAGTGAAACGAGGATTTGCTGTGACTCTAGCAGGGCATGATCAAGAGTGCCACTAAGACCCTTCACTGGAGGTGAAGGCTATAATTGTCCACAACTACATTCAAGCCAGTTTAAGGCCCCAATCCTGCTACAAGCTCCAGGCCCTGCCTTTGGACAAGGCGAGCAAGGCAGTCGCTTTGGCCCCCGTGCATTCAGACCCCCACACTTGCCCAGCTCCTGACCCTGCCCACCCGACTGGGAGCCGTGTAGATCAATGTGCTGCCTTGGACCCCACATGCTCTTTGGCCGGGCCTGACAAGCTCTATGTGAGTGTAGAGGTGAAACTAAATTAATGTGGCTTTTCTTCCCATTTATCCCCTGGCATGCTGTCTGGAGTGACTTACGACCCTGAGTGCCAGCCTCAGAGTGGACGCTCTAGACAGGTTGTGTGTTCTAGAATTAGGTTTCACAAACCCAATAACAAGTCTGAACTCCTAAAATACAGTAACCATCTTATCAAGGAGTCCCAGATGGTCCCATTAAATGCCCCAATCCATTTTACTGTCCAGGCAAGCTGGCCTTAGCAATGGTTGGTTGGTATCAATAAAAATCACACAATATACAAGTTGCTCTTAGTCGCAAGAGGCCAGTCACTCACCCCAATCTCACTCCAAAGACAACCCAGGTAGCCAATCCTATTCTAAACTAATTTAGGATTTATTAACTAAGAAATGAGAGTTGTATTACAGATTAAAACAGGCAAATATATATACACAAATCAGTCTACAGTGTCAAAAGGTGACAGATTGGTAATAATTTATCAATATTGAACGTCTTTAGGACTCTCCCAGGTCGACCCTTGGGATCTTTACTTCTGTTTCATAGGTCCAGCCCTCAGAGAGACTCAACAGCAAAAAAACAGATGAAAAATGTTCTTGTCAGGTGTTTTTATTTTATTCTTTCAGAATTAAAAATGCTGTGCTGAGCTCCTTTGTATGCAGCCTTTTCCTGGTTGTGAAGGGGTAATTTACAAAGACTTCATTATGTCCCACAATGGCCCATTTAGTTTTGATGTCTCCTGTTCATCAAGGCTAATCCCTCCTGACAGGGTTCACGGTTTCATAGCAAACACTTTTTTATATACAGTTCTGAAGCAAAAACTTAAATATTGCCTTATTAGCAGGTGATAAAAGTAAGTGAGAATAATGCTGGCAGCAGCTTACAGGCATTTCATAAAGTCTGAACACTAAACCCATGGTTATAAGTTCAATACCCACTTAATGATGCCGATACACAGGTGTGAAAGACTGGTTTCCAGCAATGAATTTGTCAGTGCTTGGCCAAGACCTGAAGCCTTAATAAGCGCTGGCACCTAGTTTGCCAGCCTCACAATCCCTGTCTCTAATTCTATTTTTTTTCCTTTGTTCAGTTTGAAATGGGTCAGGAACAGTGTTAAAAGCTAAATGAAAGCAATTGGCTGGTGCTTAATATGAAGAGTATTGGAAAATGCTTTCAAGAATTTCCTGAAATGATTTTTACAACATATTTCCGATGGCTTTTAACAATATGAGTCTCACTAATTAACTTGGGTTAGGAAATAAATTAATGAACTGAAGAGGAAAAAATCATGGCCTGCATCCATGAGAATAATACAATGCAATTTAATATGTGGATCTCATAAGAATTATGCTTGAAGGCAATTTTAACCCAGAAGAAACAAACATATAAATTGTTTACAAATTGCTGAATTTAAATTTGTTGGTTTAGCAGCCTTCTCTGCTAAACAGATGGGTCAAATTAAAACAAATATTTGCTCATTTCCAATGTATTTTGCATTTAATGTGAAATGTAAATGACAATGTATAGCAAGATGTTTTTGTATTTATTGCTGTTAGATGTTGGATCTAGCATTTTCCTCCTCTAGTTAAGTGAAAACTTCTACAAAACAGAAATTCATAAATCTAATAGATGAGTAGAACCTAAGTAAAAATGGATGCTTTTTTAAGTGCCATTTTATTCTTCCATGTTTAGAAATAATGAAAAGAAATTGGGAAAGTTGACAAGTGCGAAAATGTTTACTGTATCACTTCAGAATCTCATAGGTACTTTGCAGGAATCAAGATGCAAATAGGAATGGATATAGCCTAGAGAGAACATGCATTTGAGGAAGAATACAATACAATCAGAGTGTGACAGTCAGGTCAGACGGCTATAGAAGAGTACTTCGATTGGGGTCTGGGAGGTGGACGGGCTTATGGTTATGCCCGCTCACATCTAAAGGACCTATCCCCAGCCTGAAGGGGGGATCCAAAGAGCCCTAGACTCCAACTGATTTCAGGGGACAAATAAAGAGAAAACAGGAACGGGTGTGAAGGTCAAAGGGCTAAAATGAGGGCACTGGATGGGGACACTCAGCAGCAAGCCCCAGACAACACCCAATGCCCCTCAAAGGCCTAAAGAGAGCCAGTGGATGTCACCCTGTGGAACTCTTCCCAGATGCATGAACGGATACCGGAACGGAAATAGGCCTCATACTCGCAGACCCCTCCCTCAGGCAACCTTTGTTCCCTACAGAAGAGTACCTGAAGGCATACATGTTAACCCTAGATTAAGGAGGTCCCTGTACCTTGGCTAAACTGGCAAGGGCTGGAACTTTCCAGAAGCAGTGTGGACAATCAGGCCAATTAGAACACCTGGAGACAATTAGGAGCCTTTCCGAGCCAAGGAAGTCAGGCTAATTAGACCACCTCGATTAGTCCCATCAAGTACTAGTTGAGACTGTTAGTTTAGAGGCATGCAAGGAGGAAGGAAGGAGCTAAAGTGCTGAGTGTGAGAGGCATCTGGGTGAGAGCTGGGAGTTGCAAGTCAGGC